GTCCCGGATACTCTTCCGGGGGGAGCTGCAGCTCTGGCTGTTTGCATTAAATAAACCCTAAACCTGCCTCTAGACCCCCCCCTCAGGGGCCTAGGGAAGAGCCTGTAGCCGGCTCCTTGGTATGCCAGGGATGCTGGGCTGTCGAGAGCTGAGCTTGAACTCACCGCCGGGGTGTACCCGCCGCACCCCCTTAAAGGGGTGTAGTGCCCACTGCAAGGCAGGCCCATTGCCTATTACTGCTTTACACACAGCTTCGTTAGAACTCCTGGGCTAAGTGCCTGTTGAGGGGAGTGCGAAACTGGGTTGGGTGACCTCCTGGGCAAAAATCCGGGAGGGGGCAGTAATGAAAAGGAGGGCGAGTGAAGCTCGAAATGGCTAAGCTGAGGCGTGCCTATAGCCTCTAGGGTCCCGGATACTCTTCCGGGGGGAGCTGCAGCTCTGGCTGTTTGCATTAAATAAACCCTAAACCTGCCTCTAGACCCCCCCCTCAGGGGCCTAGGGAAGAGCCTGTAGCCGGCTCCTTGGTATGCCAGGGATGCTGGGCTGTCGAGAGCTGAGCTTGAACTCACCGCCGGGGTGTACCCGCCGCACCCCCTTAAAGGGGTGTAGTGCCCACTGCAAGGCAGGCCCATTGCCTATTACTGCTTTACACACAGCTTCGTTAGAACTCCTGGGCTAAGTGCCTGTTGAGGGGAGTGCGAAACTGGGTTGGGTGACCTCCTGGGCAAAAATCCGGGAGGGGGCAGTAATGAAAAGGAGGGCGAGTGAAGCTCGAAATGGCTAAGCTGAGGCGTGCCTATAGCCTCTAGGGTCCCGGATACTCTTCCGGGGGGAGCTGCAGCTCTGGCTGTTTGCATTAAATAAACCCTAAACCTGCCTCTAGACCCCCCCCTCAGGGGCCTAGGGAAGAGCCTGTAGCCGGCTCCTTGGTATGCCAGGGATGCTGGGCTGTCGAGAGCTGAGCTTGAACTCACCGCCGGGGTGTACCCGCCGCACCCCCTTAAAGGGGTGTAGTGCCCACTGCAAGGCAGGCCCATTGCCTATTACTGCTTTACACACAGCTTCGTTAGAACTCCTGGGCTAAGTGCCTGTTGAGGGGAGTGCGAAACTGGGTTGGGTGACCTCCTGGGCAAAAATCCGGGAGGGGGCAGTAATGAAAAGGAGGGCGAGTGAAGCTCGAAATGGCTAAGCTGAGGCGTGCCTATAGCCTCTAGGGTCCCGGATACTCTTCCGGGGGGAGCTGCAGCTCTGGCTGTTTGCATTAAATAAACCCTAAACCTGCCTCTAGACCCCCCCCTCAGGGGCCTAGGGAAGAGCCTGTAGCCGGCTCCTTGGTATGCCAGGGATGCTGGGCTGTCGAGAGCTGAGCTTGAACTCACCGCCGGGGTGTACCCGCCGCACCCCCTTAAAGGGGTGTAGTGCCCACTGCAAGGCAGGCCCATTGCCTATTACTGCTTTACACACAGCTTCGTTAGAACTCCTGGGCTAAGTGCCTGTTGAGGGGAGTGCGAAACTGGGTTGGGTGACCTCCTGGGCAAAAATCCGGGAGGGGGCAGTAATGAAAAGGAGGGCGAGTGAAGCTCGAAATGGCTAAGCTGAGGCGTGCCTATAGCCTCTAGGGTCCCGGATACTCTTCCGGGGGGAGCTGCAGCTCTGGCTGTTTGCATTAAATAAACCCTAAACCTGCCTCTAGACCCCCCCCTCAGGGGCCTAGGGAAGAGCCTGTAGCCGGCTCCTTGGTATGCCAGGGATGCTGGGCTGTCGAGAGCTGAGCTTGAACTCACCGCCGGGGTGTACCCGCCGCACCCCCTTAAAGGGGTGTAGTGCCCACTGCAAGGCAGGCCCATTGCCTATTACTGCTTTACACACAGCTTCGTTAGAACTCCTGGGCTAAGTGCCTGTTGAGGGGAGTGCGAAACTGGGTTGGGTGACCTCCTGGGCAAAAATCCGGGAGGGGGCAGTAATGAAAAGGAGGGCGAGTGAAGCTCGAAATGGCTAAGCTGAGGCGTGCCTATAGCCTCTAGGGTCCCGGATACTCTTCCGGGGGGAGCTGCAGCTCTGGCTGTTTGCATTAAATAAACCCTAAACCTGCCTCTAGACCCCCCCCTCAGGGGCCTAGGGAAGAGCCTGTAGCCGGCTCCTTGGTATGCCAGGGATGCTGGGCTGTCGAGAGCTGAGCTTGAACTCACCGCCGGGGTGTACCCGCCGCACCCCCTTAAAGGGGTGTAGTGCCCACTGCAAGGCAGGCCCATTGCCTATTACTGCTTTACACACAGCTTCGTTAGAACTCCTGGGCTAAGTGCCTGTTGAGGGGAGTGCGAAACTGGGTTGGGTGACCTCCTGGGCAAAAATCCGGGAGGGGGCAGTAATGAAAAGGAGGGCGAGTGAAGCTCGAAATGGCTAAGCTGAGGCGTGCCTATAGCCTCTAGGGTCCCGGATACTCTTCCGGGGGGAGCTGCAGCTCTGGCTGTTTGCATTAAATAAACCCTAAACCTGCCTCTAGACCCCCCCCTCAGGGGCCTAGGGAAGAGCCTGTAGCCGGCTCCTTGGTATGCCAGGGATGCTGGGCTGTCGAGAGCTGAGCTTGAACTCACCGCCGGGGTGTACCCGCCGCACCCCCTTAAAGGGGTGTAGTGCCCACTGCAAGGCAGGCCCATTGCCTATTACTGCTTTACACACAGCTTCGTTAGAACTCCTGGGCTAAGTGCCTGTTGAGGGGAGTGCGAAACTGGGTTGGGTGACCTCCTGGGCAAAAATCCGGGAGGGGGCAGTAATGAAAAGGAGGGCGAGTGAAGCTCGAAATGGCTAAGCTGAGGCGTGCCTATAGCCTCTAGGGTCCCGGATACTCTTCCGGGGGGAGCTGCAGCTCTGGCTGTTTGCATTAAATAAACCCTAAACCTGCCTCTAGACCCCCCCCTCAGGGGCCTAGGGAAGAGCCTGTAGCCGGCTCCTTGGTATGCCAGGGATGCTGGGCTGTCGAGAGCTGAGCTTGAACTCACCGCCGGGGTGTACCCGCCGCACCCCCTTAAAGGGGTGTAGTGCCCACTGCAAGGCAGGCCCATTGCCTATTACTGCTTTACACACAGCTTCGTTAGAACTCCTGGGCTAAGTGCCTGTTGAGGGGAGTGCGAAACTGGGTTGGGTGACCTCCTGGGCAAAAATCCGGGAGGGGGCAGTAATGAAAAGGAGGGCGAGTGAAGCTCGAAATGGCTAAGCTGAGGCGTGCCTATAGCCTCTAGGGTCCCGGATACTCTTCCGGGGGGAGCTGCAGCTCTGGCTGTTTGCATTAAATAAACCCTAAACCTGCCTCTAGACCCCCCCCTCAGGGGCCTAGGGAAGAGCCTGTAGCCGGCTCCTTGGTATGCCAGGGATGCTGGGCTGTCGAGAGCTGAGCTTGAACTCACCGCCGGGGTGTACCCGCCGCACCCCCTTAAAGGGGTGTAGTGCCCACTGCAAGGCAGGCCCATTGCCTATTACTGCTTTACACACAGCTTCGTTAGAACTCCTGGGCTAAGTGCCTGTTGAGGGGAGTGCGAAACTGGGTTGGGTGACCTCCTGGGCAAAAATCCAGGGGGGGGCAGTAATGAAAAGGAGGGCGAGTGAAGCTCGAAATGGCTAAGCTGAGGCGTGCCTATAGCCTCTAGGGTCCCGGATACTCTTCCGGGGGGAGCTGCAGCTCTGGCTGTTTGCATTAAATAAAACCCTAAACCTGCCTCTAGACCCCCCCCTCAGGGGCCTAGGGAAGAGCCTGTAGCCGGCTCCTTGGTATGCCAGGGATGCTGGGCTGTCGAGAGCTGAGCTTGAACTCACCGCCGGGGTGTACCCGCCGCACCCCCTTAAAAGGGTGTAGTGCCCACTGCAAGGCAGGCCCATTGCCTATTACTGCTTTACACACAGCTTCGTTAGAACTCCTGGGCTAAGTGCCTGTTGAGGGGAGTGCGAAACTGGGTTGGGTGACCTCCTGGGCAAAAATCCAGGGGGGGGCAGTAATGAAAAGGAGGGCGAGTGAAGCTCGAAATGGCTAAGCTGAGGCGTGCCTATAGCCTCTAGGGTCCCGGATACTCTTCCGGGGGGAGCTGCAGCTCTGGCTGTTTGCATTAAATAAAACCCTAAACCCTAAACCCTAAACCCTAAACCCTAAACCCTAAACCCTAAACCCTAAACCCTAAACCCTAAACCCTAAACCCTAAACCCTAAACCCTAAACCCTAAACCCTAAACCCTAAACCCTAAACCCTTACGCAAGGCGCTCGAGAAGGAGCTAGCCTCCTTCAAGAGCTGCCTTCGCACCTTCAGCAAGGTATCGAACGGCCTATGCGAACTTCAGCAGCAGTTCAGGAATGGGGAGGTTTCCCACGCTCTCCGGATTACAGCCCCCACGCTACAGCTAACCGACCCTACCCTGCAAGAGAAGCTGAACCAGGCCCTAGACAATGAGCTGAAAACCTTCAAAACAAAAGCTCACCTGACTCTGATGGGGTACAAAGAAAAGGAGAAGGCTCACTGGGAGGGAGCAGCGGAGGTATGGACGGCACGGACATACTCTCGCTTCGAGAGCTTCCTGGAGAAAAGCCTCCACCTTTTCGAGACACATGCAACACCTGATACCCCTGCACCCGATGCTCACCTCAAGGAGCTGGCTGTCGACCACATGGCACGGGGCATGGCACGAGAGCTGATGTACCATGCTGTGTGGATCAAGGGCAGCCGCAAATCAAGGGCAAGGGGGGCAGCTAAGCGGGAGAAAGTACGGGCTGAACAGGCACTGAGGGAGGAGATTCAAGCTAACCCTTCTACTGACCTGATTGGGCTGGTAAAAACTCTGGTTGGCCCCCTACAGCAACGGGTAGAGGCCCTGGAGCAGCGGCAGCCTAGGAGCGGGACTGCGGTAGAGCACGGGAAGGCAGCGGGAAAGAGCAGGGCTCAACGCCGTAAAGAGGCGAAGAGAAACAAGGCACGAAACGGAACCACCTCACAGCAACCCACAGCAGCATCGGCCCCTCAGGCAGGGAAGACCGTAGGGGGGACAGTGGCTACTCCAGCAGCAGCAACATCAGCAGAGGGACTGGGAGGAGGCGAGAGACAAGCCGGGGGGGTGACCGAAATGGCAACAACAGTTGCACCGGCAACAGTTACTGTGACGACAACAGGACCAGCAGCCATTGCAACAAAAGCGCAAGGAGCAACAGGACCAACGGCAGCAATAGCTTCAACCAGTGCCACTACACAGCCAGCGCCAGCACCAGTAGCAGCAACACCAGGGGCAGCAAACACAGCTACGCCATCGGGAGCAGCCGGAGTAGCAGCACAACCGGCACCAGCGACGATCTCTGCTGCAACACTTCCGAGACAAGCGGAGGGCAGACAGCGGGGAAGGGGCCTGCAGGCGACAGTGAGGACCTCGCAGCCATCCGCGGCAGCCATTGCGACTGCTGCGGCGGTGAAGGTAGCTATGCGTGGGTTGAAGGTAAACCGGTCTAGGCAACGCCGCACTGACACAGCTCACACAGCTTTACAGGCACCTTGGCAGCAGCACTATGCTCTCCGCATGGCACCCCAACACCCCCCACAGTACGAAAGGCCAGCAGTGCACGCGAGCGGGAGTGCACCACAGAGAGCACCAGGGCAGGCACAGCAGAGGGAACATACGGTAGAGAGGGGCCAGTCGAGAAGCACGCAGAGAGAGCAGCCTCAGAGCACACAGTTAGGTCGAGGACAGCCAGTGCAGACCGGGCAGCAGCCCGATCCAGGACCCTCACTTGACCGCAATGCGCAGGAGACACGAGACCCAGCTGATGACACTCAATTGGCACCAATGCAGACTGCACAGCAACCCAACACCCCTGCCCAGCCCGCCCCCCAAGCACCCACGCAACCAGCAGCACCCACATACACCTTCATGACAAACCCCGCATTCCCCAACATGTACCAGCCCTACCCCTTCGTACCCATGCATCCCAGCCTGAACTATGGCAGCCCTTTCTCGCCTCATGCACATCCCTTCTTCTTCCCCCAACAGGCTGTCCCTTTACAACAGACCTCGGCGCCGGCCCAGCCGGCCCTCTCAAACATGTCGGTCATGTCAGCAACACCTGCGCCACCAGCATACCCCTTTGCAATCACAGGTCCCCCTTCCCAGCAGGTTACGCAAGGACCACAAGCCCAGGTGGCGTTTGGGCCCCCTAGAGGTACGGGGGCAACACTTAACGCCAACTATGGCCCCGATGCCGTCCCCATTCCCATGCGTTTTTTATGGTGAAAGTCCCTCCCTTTCCTACCCAGAATAGCGCAGGTGGTACAGCTAGCTCAAGAACAGTCACGGACCACAACGCTAACCCGAGGTATGTACACCAGCCCCCACTCAGCACGTCCCCTCTCCCAAGCCCAGTAAACACACCGCTCAGCAATGGACAACAACGAACCAACGTCTATACCAGACCTCGAGACACACAAGGCCAGCCCGCTTACTCTCTGCCCATCTCATCTAACACCCCACCGTCAAAGGACGCGTCTCACATGAACAAAGTAAATACCCCTCCCCCCCTACGCCACTCGGCTGCACCGAATGACACCAACCAGCAGGTAAGCCTTCACAGAGCCGGGAAGCAGCCCCGTTCAAGGCCTAGGAAAAACAACTTTCGCAGCCCTTTGACCCCTACCCAGAAACGCCTCCTGCGAACATCCCAAACCGTTGTCCAAGACGAGCTCAACTCCAAATTCATACACAACAACTCCTCACTCACCCTATCGCCCACAGAACTTGAGGGCCTAAGCCTAGGACTCTCTTTCATCCCAACACCCTCATCCGCCACTGAAACTACAATAAGGATAGCCCTCGCACGTTTCGTGAGAAGTGTGAGGCTGATCTCACACTTCTCTTCCGACAGACCAGCCCCACGCTTCCGTATCCCAAAACCATCGTATCAGCCCGACCCTGCACTGCCCCCTGTTGAATGCTATATAGCTGAGGTAGAAGAGAAGATCTCTAAGCATCTTCCACTTATGACGCGCCCAGCTCGCAGGAACATGAGCGTGCATGCGTTACGCTGCTTGAAAAGGCTGGGCAAGAACCCAAAGGTCGTGGTGAAGCCAGCGGACAAAAATCTTGGACTGGCCCTACTAGACGCCTCGTGGTATCGAACGGAAGCACTCAGACAGCTATCAGACACTAACACATACACCTCAGTGGAAGCGGTACCTATGACTGACCTGTACAAACGGCTAAACACCTGGTGCTCGAGGTACGAGAGAAGTTTCCCTCCTGAAACCATCGAGTACATCCTGCAACCAAGGTTTGAAGAGCACGCAGGCGCAGAACACGGGCAGTTTCGTGTATGCAGGTTCTACCTGCTGCCGAAACTACACAAAACGCCAGTCAAAGGAAGACCGATATGCTCATCTACGCTCTGGATTTTCGAGCACGCCAGCCAGGTACTAGATCACTATCTACGCCCGCTTCTGACCTTGGCACCAGCCCACTTACCAGACTCGATCACCCTGTTGCACACACTCCGCACCCTATCGATACCTGAACACGCCATCTTTCTGACGTACGATGTGGAAAGCCTATATCCGTCGATTCCGCTACATCAAGGCCTCACTGCCATTCGAGAAACGAAAGACAAGTTTGTACGCAAGCATGGCTACCCGGTGTACTCTGAGAAAAGCCCCGCTAGGCAACTCAGCGCCTGTTGCGAGCTGCTGGAGCTAGTCATGACGGAAAACCACCTTCAGTTTGACGATAGGTTCTATCGACAGATCCGCGGTACTGCCATGGGGACCCCAGTAGCAGTGATCTATGCAGTGCTGTTCATGAGTTGGTTGGACACCCTCATGGAGGAACAATACCCTTCACTATCAGAGCACGTACTACTGCACAGGCGATATATCGACGACGGACTTGTGGTCTGGACTGGATCGCTAGCAGATCTACATAGCTGGATAGAGGGGTACAACAGTCTCATGGACGGCATCCGCATCACTACTGAGATCAGCACCACATCATTCACACTGCTCGACATCACTTTCAATAAGGGTATGCAGTGGAAAACTACTGGGAAGGAGAATGCGGGAGGCGGTTTTTTGGATACCTCGGTATACCAAAAGCCTCTGAACGTCTATCAATACTTTCCGTTTCGCTCTGCGCACCCGCGACACTGCAAGCGGGGTTTCATTATCGGTGAGCTGTACCGCTATCTCCTAAGAGAGTCATCTGAGGAGGGCTTCCGACATATGAAGTCTGCGTTCGCAGAGCGCTTGAAAGCACGCGGCTACCACTCAACTTTCATTCAACAGATCTTCGACGAAGTACAGTACAGCGACAGGGATGCACGCCTACGACGCTCAGAACAAGGTAAGCAGCGCGACAACAGGGTATTACCTTTCGTACTAGAGTACCACCCGAGCCTCGAGCACCCACGTGTAAAATCTCTACTTCGCTCCGAGACCAGTAAAGTGACCTTGAAGACGCTCTGCCCCAGACAGCCTTTCTTTTGCTTTCGTGCAGCACCAAAGCTTAGGAATGTGCTAGTCCGTGCTGCTTTTGCAAGTGGGGATGCCCCAGATACCTCAGAGTGCAGTGCCACGTGAGTGCTATGCCAGGTCAGTTTATACACCGCTTCAATCTCTCACCCTGAATGTTGTCATCTCGCCTTGCTTCATCTCCCATTATTGTTTCTCAATCATCGATGTGTGCTGCGCCCCCCCCCCCCCCCCCCCCCCCCCCCCCCTTCCCGAAACCCCCCCACTCCCTCCTTGCTTTTCAACACTTTTTACCCGAGCCCCAGCACCTCAACACTACTATCCTATACTCCCTCATTTACCCCACCCCACCCCTACGCATACAGACTACTGGAGGGGCACTACAACGGGCTGCAACACTCACATTCACACCTCTCTCCGCCTTTCTACTTCCCTGCCCATCGCTCGTATCCCTCCCCGCACGCACCAGCATGCCCCGCATACATCTGCTTCCATGACGCATCCTCACGCACGCACTCAACCCACCGCACACATCTTCATCATACCATCAACCATTAATGCACACGTCCACCAGCGCCTACTGCCCCATGCCAAACCCCAAGCTCCAATGCAACACCACACGCCTCACGCTACTGCTGACACGAGCGCACACACGAGCGCGTTGATGTAAAATACTGTCACGACAGCCCTAATACAGCTGTGCGCGTTGCCTAGGCTGGTTTACATTCACAGAGAAAAATAACAAATCCCACGCATATCTATTCTCACCCTGCATCTCCTCCTGTCATTTCCCTGCCTAGTATTTTCCCCTGCCACAGGCCATATGTATTCCTCGCTTTGTACCACTACGCAGGCCTCAACTCCCCAAGAGCGCGCCACAGGAAGCAAGAAAATATAATCCCCAACGACTTTATAATTTTTATAATAGCCTTTGTGGGGTTGTACAATTTCAGTGGGGCGCTACTAAAGGGGATGGGACTTTCTTTCCCAACCCTTTCTTCCTTACTTAGGCTAGGTCTCGCCACTTTTGCTGCTGTTAGCACTGATGATGGCCTTTCAAATGGCCGAAATGCATTTGCAACAGTAATTTCAGCAGCCCTAGTGCTTTACCTTAGCTTGAAAATAGAAGACCAGGTTAAAATAGGTCTCTTTCCGCGTATCTCACGGAGCAATTCGCGAGCAGCATCGCGTCACCGCACTGAACCGCAATCGCGATTTCGACGCGCGAGTCGTTTCTTGGCGAGAAATTTTTTTCTCGCCAAGTCAACTCGATTTTCCCCCCCCCCCCCCCCCCCCCATTTCTCGATCCTTGACTCCCGAGGCGCGCGCGTCAAATGCGCGCCTCGGTTTCAATTTTTTCAGCACCCCCACCCAATTTCAATTCGACCCACCCCTTCCCAACCCACACGCCACTCATCCCCTCCTCCTCTCACGCTACCTTAGGTGCCTCCTAAGTAGTAAAGCCGCCCCAGCTTAAACTGGGATTTACTAGCAGCTGCAGCTAGGCTTATTTTTTATAATCAAACCCTAAACCCTAAACCCTAAACCCTAAACCCTAAACCCTAAACCCTAAACCCTAAACCCTAAACCCTAAACCCTAAACCCTAAACCCTAAACCCTAAACCCAAACCCTAAACCCTAAACCCTAAACCCTAAACCCTAAACCCTAAACCCTAAACCCTAAACCCTAAACCCTAAACCCTAAACCCTAAACCCTAAACCCTAAACCCTAAACCCTAAACCCTAAACCCTAAACCCTAAACCCTAAACCCTAAACCCTAAACCCTAAACCCTAAACCCTAAACCCTAAACCCTAAACCCTAAACCCTAAACCCTAAACCCTAAACCCTAAACCCTAAACCCTAAACCCTAAACCCTAAACCCTAAACCCTAAACCCTAAACCCTAAACCCTAAACCCTAAACCCTAAACCCTAAACCCTAAACCCTAAACCCTAAACCCTAAACCCTAAACCCTAAACCCTAAACCCTAAACCCTAAACCCTAAACCCTAAACCCTAAACCCTAAACCCTAAACCCTAAACCCTAAACCCTAAACCCTAAACCCTAAACCCTAAACCCTAAACCCTAAACCCTAAACCCTAAACCCTAAACCCTAAACCCTAAACCCTAAACCCTAAACCCTAAACTAAACCCTAAACCCTAAACCCTAAACCCTAAACCCTAAACCCTAAACCCTAAACCCTAAACCCTAAACCCTAAACCCTAAACCCTAAACCCTAAACCCTAAACCCTAAACCCTAAACCCTAAACCCTAAACCCTAAACCCTAAACCCTAAACCCTAAACCCTAAACCCTAAACCCTAAACCCTAAACCCTAAACCCTAAACCCTAAACCCTAAACCCTAAACCCTAAACCCTAAACCCTAAACCCTAAACCCTAAACCCTAAACCCTAAACCCTAAACCCTAAACCCTAAACCCTA